ATCCCTAAACCTCGAAGCCATAGTATTCACATTAGAATTCACCCTAGGCTGAACATCCCTATTTGCTTGAGCCGTTATAGCTTGGGCTTGATTTGTCACAGCTTGAGCTTGGGCCGTCATGGCTTGAGTTATCATTTGCATAGTAGCTCTAAATTTTGCTTGAGTCACATTTTCGGTTACCGGATCAACCAGAGTTTACTCATCTTAGGAGTTCAGTTGTCTTGAGGAGCTCCTCAATTCACATTATCCTCTTCCACCATTCTTGCATTAGGCCTTCGTGTATTCATTTCCTGAAGACACATAAGAAAGATTAGAAGGAAGACATTATAGAGTTAAACTCTATGGCACGACTCAAGAGTTATGAAAGTAATGTAAGTTCCAAAAGTCTTATAGCCTCTCACACATAAACGTGGCGCACTTCACACTATGAACAAGACTCTATTAGACGTGTCTTATAAGACATAGTCCTAGAATCATTCTGAACCTTTTGCTCTGATTCCTAAGTTTGTTACGTCCCAAGGGTACCCCCTAGATGTAATATGGCACATGGAACCTCGAAAGGACCCAGGCAAGCCACTTAGCTTATCATCATCACACAAGTCTAGAATAATAACGAATAAAACACAATTTCAAGTCTGTAAGAAAATTTCATAGAAAATAAACGGAAGTCTAGACATAGTCTCATTAAGCTATCTACTACAATCGGAGTTTCAAAATTCTAGGGGCACAACCCTTACAATAGAGAATATGATAATGTCTAGTACAACTAAAGAAATGAAACAACAATAAAAGCACTTGTCCTCGGATCCATGAGGACATACCACGACTTTAAAGAGTAGTCAACCCAAGTTGACCTAGAAGGGACAATCAGCTCACACGTCGGAACCTATACTTGTTAGAAACAGAGAAGAAATATGGGTTAGCACATTTAATGTATTAAGTATGATAATCATACACAAAAACATGAAAATATGCTTAAAAAGGACAATTTAGTTGAAGAGTATGCATTTTAGAAAGTTTGAGAATCATCATGTAAATCGATACAAAACATAAGTCATAAGCATAATCATTGTATAAGTCAGCACATCATAATAGGAACCCACTATGAATACTCTCAAAGTCTACTTGTGCCATGCATAAGTACGATCCCTTACTCCTACTCATGCTAAGTAAAAATCCTTAAGCAAACATAGTTAGTCCTTTACATTCATTATTACTTTGGGAAGAAGCACTACACCATTTTAGGCCTACGGCCACCCCAGTAAAGTGTAGCCTAAACTAGCAAAAAGTGTGGCCTTTGATAAAAGGCAACACTTTTGGACTTTAAGCAACACTTTTTAGGGGGTGGCCTAAAGCAGCGTAACCTTTGACATTAGGCCACGCTTTTGAAATGTCGCCATAGCAGCTACACTTAAAAAGTGTGGCCAAAGAGGTACAAAGGGCACGCTTTGTACCAATTCATTAGCAACACCTTTTGTTTGATTATACTACACTTAAAAGCGTGGCCTTTGCTTTGTTATTGGTCACACTTAAAAAGTGTTGCCTTTTATATCTCATCTAGAACAACACTTATAAAGTGTAACTTTTCTTATGTACATGATAAAATTTGTAATCAATAAGCCACACATTGGACGTCCCTATAGCAACACTTTTGAAGTGTGGCAATGTTGTGTAGAATTTTTGTAGCCACAATTTTTCATTTTAAGAATAATAATTTTTATTTGCATATATTCAATAATCACATAATTAAATATATAAGTGATCTAAACCACAAAATTAGCTAATAAATATATCGAAGCTATATATTTCAAATAAACTTCGAGAAACATGTCTTGTACAACCAATACTTAGAAAGTGATTGCTTACAGATCTTTACTATCAATAAATTCCACAAAACCAAATGCATTCAAACAATTATGACAATAGTACAAAAACTCTTCATCGTTCACTACAATAGATCGAGTTTAATTGAAGCCACAATTCAAATTCAATTACCGGCATTTTCCTGCACATTCAAAATAAAATTATAATTTAGTTAAATAAATCATGTATTTAATATGCTCAATGCTAGTCATTTTTAACAATACTTCCCAGCCCCTTCCCAATGTAGAGGTACTGTTATGAAAAACAGGACTCTTAGTTTCAATTAAAAAATCCCTAGGCTGAATCATTTACTATGCACACGGTTGTATCAAACATTTATGGACAACATTTGTCTAAACATTCCTAATCCTACACTGTAAATCAAAATAAGTGAAAGTTTGCTTTACAAACAAGTAGCATCACATTTCAGTGGATTAACATAAACTTTGGTGTATGTAAATAAGCACTAGCTAGCCTGTGAAGGCAAAACAAGAAAGGAAGAGGAGGTTTCACTTGTCAAAGCCATTTTGGTCTAAAAGGTATGGGAGCAATAAAATCACAAAAACTAAACATTATTGATTTGAAGGCAATTTTAAATTTATCCACTACTTCACTGTAACATATTAAAAGTCTATTTATCACACTACTAAGACATAAATGAATTCCTAGCACCAAGATATTTATAATGGTCATACCTATGGAGGATGTGGAAATAAATGAGCAAAGTCTTCAAGGATATTCCTTGTGTTCCTTTGATATAAGCTAAGTAGCGCATTTAATTGTGATTTCATACTCGCCACCTCTTGTTCCCACTCAGGAGTTGGAGCGGTAGTGCTAGATGAACTCAATGACAGGATATGCTTGAATCGTGAAAGATATTTGGGCAACTCTATGAGTATCATGCCTCTGTGGCCCACTCGGAATGAAAAGAGGAAGGTAATGGAGTTCAAATAACTCACCAAGGTCACATGAAAATAAAAGAAATAGATTAGCCTATGTTCATGAAGATGAACTTTCAAATAAAGCCAAACCAATGCATAACAATAAAGTAACAGGCCAAACACATCAATGCACGCTTTTATCAACAGCTTGTCACATGCTTATTTAATACAAATCTAAACTACCAAATAAAAAGCCAATTGACTAAAACTTTTCCCTTAGGAATAAATGGACTATCTGATGTTTTAAGTCATTTTAGATGCCACCATATTCCTAAATCAATAAATCAGTTCTCAGATGACAACAATAACATCAGATCAGTTTTCAGATGGAGTACTAGGTTAGATTTCTTTAGTGTAGGTAGCTTAAGAAACAACATGTCTCACCTAAGCCGCTGAGCAGCAACATAGTCTGCTGCAGTCAATGAACGAGAAATGTCAGATTTGTACGATTATCATCATATGTCAATCATGCTCCTTTCCTGGTGACAGAAAAAGAAGAGAATAGATAACAAAGATGATATCAGGAAATAATTTGAAGTTGCTCCCAATAAGACATCGAGAATCATGCAGAGATTTACGAATGTATCAGCACTCGAGAATACACCTACATCAGCAAAAAGACAATTAAAATATTTTACCCCTCTTTGGCTCTTGTCATCTACTATAAATTGACCATTGTAACTATAAGAATTTTCATTAGTGAAGATCATGTAGTACAGATCGATATGAGTTCAATAGTTAATCTAGTTGGCTGAAAAATGTGAAAATGGCTGAAACATCCATACAGCTGCAACTACATACCTTAACTCAAGGAGTAGAAACAAATAGCTATAATCTTCATTCTTTGATGTGCAGTGAAAGCTTAGCTTCTACAGGAAAGCTAGTGAAAGCTTCATTCTAACGTCCATTGCAACAGTGAGTTAGAGAGAACAATCAACAGAACTACATAATCTTATATAGAAAAAATGAGTACAATCTCACTCTATATAGTATAGGCAGTTTGCTCTCACTGAGTCTATAAACAACAACATAGTGAGTGTAATCCCGCAAGCGGAGTTTGGAGAGGATTGTGAGTACAAAAGCATTATCCCTACCTTGTAGGAAAGGAGAGGTGATTTCCGATTGGCCCTTAGCTCATGTAAAACATATCAAAATCAAGTATTGGAAGGAAATACAGTAGCAATCTCTCTGTTTTAAGAAAACTTCTCCACGAATCATACATCAGCCAAGCTTAAAATCTGAGCAAAGGCTTTAGAACTCATAATTAGATAGCAAAAACATTGTATTTATGAGTTCACATGTCAGTGGCCAGGAGACATCTCTAACATTAGGTGGGTACAAGTTTAGCATGATCAGGAGACATCTGCATCAGAAACAGTCCAACGACAACGGTGAACAACACCAACTGTATGAAAAAACACGAACTGTACTTACAGACTTTCTTCTGTAGCTTTAGCTTTTCAGCAGTGCTTGCTAAATCTTCACAGTAACTTTCCAACTTCTTGGTTTGTGTCTTGAGCGCTACAGCCTTTGCTTCGGCATCTCCTAGCACGTGCACCATCTGTGCTTGTTTTGAAGCTAATATCTCCTGTTCTTCCAAGAGGGTAAGTTGATATACTGTTGCACTTCTCAAATTTTGGGATGTTTTTGATAATGCCAAATACTGAACTTTAGCTTCAATTTTCTGCCTGAAGAGACCCTCGAACTCACTTTCAATAGTCTCATCTTGTAATAAACATGTGAAACTAGTCCTCTTGTTTTAACTACAGTTACTTCATAGTAGTCTAAATACATTAGACAAAGTAAAATCACCCTGACAATGCTTGTATTAAACATATTTTAGAAAAAGGAACTAAATTTAAGCATCCAAAATACCAAAATTGAGGTAAGTATATTACAGAACATACAGAGGTCATGACAAGATAAACTAAAAGGTGTCATACCAAGTAGTTGAGTTTTACATCTCTAATTGAAAAAAATACTCAAATAACCAAAATTAGATGACAATATCGAGACATGAGTCATTTTCACATTGATTTAACCTAATATAGATTAGTAGAGCAATCTAAATTGGAACAATAATGTTAACGTAGAGCAGATCGCCAAAACTTTAACGTTTTAACTGCATTTCAAGATATTTCGCACTTCTTCAAAATTCTCTACCCATTACACGTCCTTTAAAAGTTGAAACAAAAATAGGGGAAGAACTTTAGCAGGCATATATAGTACCTCGAGGTTCCAAAATTGGGAAACAATGATATGGTGTTAAACAAGATAAGCAACATGGGTAGGGATGGGGGGAAGGGGGTCAACGCCCAACTCGCGCCATCACAAGGTGTGTTTCACTTCTATAAAAAATGATAGATATGGCAAGAAATTTCATCAACTGATTCGCATTTACTTCATGTGCCAAAGCTATGGTCTCCAGCATCACCCAATTCGGGGATAATAAACCTAAAAATTACAGAACACGAAACAATAATGGCATGATGCAGGAGTGCTATCTAGAGAAGTGAGCAAGGTAAAAGGTTCTGCAATGATTGGTTACCCTTTCTCATTAACAGTTGGGTCAAGTATTCCAGCGTATACATGTAATCTGGTAAACAAAGAAACAAGAGTTAAGGAAATCTACTGAAATGATTCAAATAGAGAAGATAGATACAAAAGTTTGAGTTGTTAAACTAGTTACCATGGATACTTCTCACTGAGTTTTGTGGAGGAGCAGCCACTGCACATACCTGAAAGATGCAAGTCATGTAATCAGCGAGTTGAAAACATACATAACTAGAGACATCAAAAATTCAAAACTAACACTCACTGAAGCAATGTTCAATCAAAATATTGAAAAGTACATTAGCGACCTAAACTCATAGAGTTGCTCCATTTTCTCACACATGTTCAAGATGAGGTTTTCTAAAAATGTTTGAAGCAAATTCTAGAACAGCTTGAGAGAACAAAGAGAGGGATGTCAAAACTAAGAATTCAAACATGCAAGGTTTGTGGCAAAATATCAGTTGCAATATGTGGTGCAAACGAATATTTTAGCAAATAAACGTAAATGAATATGTTGGAAACCTACCACTTTAATCTAACTATTGTCAACCCCACTTTCCTTTATAAGGTCAATAGCTGCAACGATTGTACCACCTAGGAAGATGTAGAAAATCCAGGAATTGCAGCAACAATCTGGGACCTTGTGAACTCAAACTGAAAAGCTGAGAAAGAGACAAATAAACATCATCTTCAGAGAAAAGAGAGTCAGAAAACCATCAAATTCCAGTCAAAGACGTGAAGGTGTACACCCAGTGTGGTATGTAGGGAAATGCCATTAATTAATGATTTTACAGCCATATTACGAGATCTTCATTCCACTTTTTTGGCAAGAATCGTTTGATAGCAGGTAACAATGTTGCACTGCAAAACCCCAAAGAAAGGGATGATATTAGTAATGAGAGACGATGCATTAGTTGAATGAGAGAGAAATGAGAAACAGAGAGGAATCGTTCTTGAGAATTTCAGACATGGGAGAAGAAGGCGTCGTTTTTCCATCTGTGAGACCTAAAAATTGTGATTTTTTCTGATTTGGGGGAAAAGAAAGATTTATGTTTTATGAATTGTTTTTTTTTTCCAATAAAAATTGGAGGGAGAGTTAAAAATGATAGATGAAATATTATATTTTGTTGAAAATTTTAAGGCCACATTTGTAATGTGTTGTGTTTAAAATTATAAAAATAGGACACTTTAAAAGTGTGGCCATATATGTAAATAGTTGTTGGCAATTATATCATCCTGGAACAACGCTTATAAAGTGTAGCCTATACCATTAAAGAGTACGCTTTACAAGTGTTGCCAATATTATCGAAGCTAAAAGTTAAAAACTTCGGCTACGCTTTAAAAGCGTCCCCGAAAATATTTTAGGCAACACTTTACAAGCGTTGTCCAGATTAAGTGTGGTCGTAGGCCTAAAATGGTGTAGTGAAGCCTTAACCGACATAGACTAAGTGAGCTAAACATGGAATCCGGTGTCATGACCCACACCGAAAAGAGGTCTCCTACTTGCCTAAGGTAGAACTTAATGTATATCTTTTAGGTGGATCCACTAGCTAAAGATCTATGAGGGCACATAGTTATAGGATACATAAATTGTTAGTAGAAACCCAACCTTACTTAACGAGGGAGTTTCCATCTCATGATATTATATTTAGAAATCCAACTCAAATTGACAGGAGAGCCTCCAACTCAAATTCAATATCCACTCGGTTCTAAGCATTACTTCCCACAATTTCATAGTTAGTCTTTGAATTGAGATTACAACCATGAAGGAGTGTCTTACTCTCCATCCAAAACAATTCACCATAATAGCTCATAGGTTCATTAGGTGAGAATGGACTTTGAACCTTAGAAACCTAACATAGTGAGAAGAACTTTCACATCATGATCATTATGTGTTTATGAGAATGAACTTTCAATTAAAACAATAAGTAAGTTATAATCATGTTCATAAATGCATATACATCTAGTCCCAAATTTGGCATAATTCTCATGTCTTACCAATCTTGGATCAAGGATCGCATTCTGCCAATCAATCTAGGGTTATTACATTCAACATGAACAATAATATGATCAAGAAACCACATTACAACAAGAACAATTCAATACAATTGACCTTACTACAAATTCACATACATTGCATTCAAAAATTAGGATTATAGGGGTTTTCATAGATCCATGGTGAATTTATAGTAAAAAAAATCTGAAAAACAGTAATTAATCCATAACATATGATAATTAAACCCTTGAAAACGATATGAGAAAGAATCCATGATTGGAAGAAAATCCTAGGTGTTTGGAGACTTTTCCTACATTGAAATTGGAGAGTTTAAGGGCACCATGGAGTAAAGCACTCCGTGTATCAAGATTACCGTACCTTGATTGATGTTTTCGTCTCGAAATTGGAGTGAAAAAGCTGAACCTTGAACCCTAAGCTTGACCTTGTTCTTGCTCTTCAATGGAGTCTTAGAGAGAGAAATGTTTTGGGAGGGAAATAGTTTTGTGTTGGGGTCTTGAATGAATGAACTTAATGAATTAGTTTAGGGGTCTATTAGGTATTTATAGTTAGTTTTAATTAGTATTAACCGACCCTAGTTAGTTATTTAATTAACCCTATGCCCTTCCCTTAACTCTAACTAAAAATAATTAACTAACCTATACGTGTCACTCACGAAACCCCACCCACCGACTGTTGGTGGGTTCACGCTCCGCGTTGTATGTTTGTGGACTGGACAAAGAGTTTGGAAAAAAATGGGGAGTCTCAGCCTCGACCCACGACCCCCACCTACGGGGCATGGGTCCACCCACAGTTTGTGGGTGCCCATCTGTAGATGGAAGCTATTTTGGCATCTTTTTGGGCTGCCCCCTTGGTCCTCCTCAAGGTCCTTGGGGGTCATGCCTTGATGTTTATACCCAAAAACACTATTACTAAGTAACAGAGGTTATTTTACTACTCTAATTTTTACGTTAAACCCCATTTAGGTCAGTAGATTATGATATAGGCTCTAGTTTAGTCTCCAAGTTTTAGGGGGCGTAACACATTTCCACTCTAAAATTGGTTCTTTTTGAAGTTGAAATTTGACCACCCGGGTCCTACAATCTATTGAAGCATAACATGCATGCAACCAACCCATGCCCAAAATTACATCAAAATCAAGCATGTCTAATTCTACAAAATCAACGAAAGTGACTCTATGAGAAAAAGAAATAGGAAAACTCTTATAGACTTTGTTTGCCACTACCGAGTCACCAACCGGGGGGGAAACCAAAAAAGGCTCTACTAATATTTCGGGGAGTATTTCAAACTTCATAGCCACAATAGGTGTAACAAAGGACAAAGTGGTACCGGGATCTAATAAAGCATAAACATCAATAGAAAAGACTTCCAATATACCGGTCACCACATCCAGGGATCTCTCTTGGTCACCTTATGATTGAAGAGCATACACGCGGTTTTGTTTTTGAGCATTTGAGTTGGAACTACTTGGATGAGCTTGCTTATCTTCTCTCCTCTTAACCTTGAGCATGGGACAATCTCTTATCTTGTGGCCACTCTTTCCACAACTATAGAACACATCCGAGCCCACTAACCACTTGCCTTCATGTTTTCTACCACATTTAGCACAAATTGGCCTAGCAACATAAGAACCACCACTATTGCCCCCTTGAGGTTTAGGGTTAGAAACCCTATCCTTGTCAACCCTTGGAGTATTAGAAGAGCGTTGATTGGATAACCTTTGCTTGAACCCTTGCCAACCTTGCCCATCGGACGTAGCATTAGAAAAATTCCCTTCACTGGTTCTAGTTCTTTTCACATCTCTATTTCTTTGGAGCTTCTGACACTCCATTTATTGGGTATACACCATAAGATGTGAGAGATCCATGTCATGAATAGGCATTATTATACGACATTCTTTCCTTACCACTTTGGATATACCCGTCACATACCTACTCATCTCTTCTATTGGGTCCAGCACTATGGATGGAGTATACTTAGACAATTCGGTAAACTTTAGAGAGTATTCTTCCAAACTCATACCTCCTTCACGAAGGTTGATAAATTCTTCCACCTTGGCTTCCCTCTTCGCATGGGAAAAAAACCTATCAAGGAATGCTATCTTGAACACCTCCAAACCTATGGGACCCGCTCCCTCCGGCTTATTCATCTTCCATTGAGTATACCATACTTGGGCCACTCCCTTCAATTGATAGGCAGCTAGTTCCTCTTTCTCTATAGAGGTCACCCCCACAACATAAATTATCTTGTAGATCTCTTCTACAAAATCTTGAGGATCTTCACCCACTTTAGAACCGAAGAACATAGGGGGATTCATTCTTGTGAAGTCTCTCAACCTTGAAGCTATGGAGTTCACATTAGGGTTCACATTAGGCCCAACATCCCTATTAGCTTGAGCCTTTATAGCTTGGGCTTGTGTTCTCACGGCTTGAGATTGAGTTGTTACCACTTGATCTTGGGCCGTCATAGCTTGAGTTATCATTTGCATAGGTTCCCTAAATTCTTTTTCAGTCACATTTACAGGATCAATCCGAGCTTGCTCATCTAAATTAGCTTTATTCCCTGTAGGAATCCCATGATTCACATTCTCCTCATACACCCTTCTTGCATTGGCCCTTCGTGTATTCATTTCCTGAAGACACAAGAGAAGGATTAGAAAGAAGACTCTATAGAGTTAAACTCTATGGCACGACTTAAGAGTAATCAAAGAAGTGTAAATTCCTAACATCTTATAGCCTCTCACTCATAAATGTGGTGCACTTCACACCATGAATAAGACTCTACTAGATGTGGCTTATGAGACATAATCCTAGAATCATTCTAAACCTTTTGCTCTGATTACCAAGTTTGTCACAACCCAAGAGTACCCCCTAGACGTAACATGGCACATGGAATCCCAAAGGACCCAAGTAAGCCCCTTAACTTATCATCATAACATAAGTATAGAATAATAAAGAATAAAACACAATTTTAAGTCTTTAAGAAATTTTTCATAAAAGTAAAGCGGAAGTTTATGCATAGTCTCACTAA